CAGAGGTCTTTCTACACATTCTGATATAAAACATTTTGTATATATTATACCCATCTATAAAATGTTGAAAAATTGTCCACAGATATTCAGTTTACTGTCAGAGAGGATAAAAGAAACCATAAAATATAAACATTTGAGAAGCTGAAATAAGAGAATTTCAACGCTCAGGATTCTGGGTAATTCCAGAAATACAGATTCACATAAAGTGTGAAGAAAGGGCAAGTATGATGACTGGAATTGGAATTGGACCTGTGTCTGTGTGTGGGTATGGTTGAGGTCTGGTCTGGTTCTGCACACCTGCCTGCCATCAAGCAAATTAGCACTGCCTACAAGATCTCTGCTCTCAGCCAGTCTCTGCTGGACCTCATGGACCTCAGGTTGTTCCTGTGCTTCCTGCTCACAGCCTGTTTGAGGTTATTTATATTATTAATATATGACCACAGCGGCAAAGACACAAGAACAAATGCAACCATTTTGGCAATTTTCACTTTCTCCCACAATGTCAACAAAAAAATATCAAAGACATCATAAGAATGTTTTAGAAAAGCTGCTGTGAATTCAAGAATTTTAGGCCACAACAATCCCAAAAAAGAGCCAACGATCAGCCACTCCAGGAAGTTGTGATCACAAAAATCAACACAAATTCAATCCCTGTAAATTTGTCCAATCACCGTCCACAAATGTAACCAATCATTGGTTTGATCCATCTGTCAGTACTAGATTTTACTTTCACTGGAACAAGTTGTATTCATGAATTATACAAAAAACAATTTTCACTTTCTCCAATTTCACTGCAGAAATATGACATTAACTGTCCACTGAAAAAAGAGCATGTTCGTTCCTTTTTACTGTGAAATTATAAAAAGAGACTTTTCTCTGACTGCACAGCTGGAATTGATTTATTGATGGATGTGATCAGATCACTTCATCTTGTTTTTATGAACTCCAGCCTGCATTTATTTCCTGAGAAACAGAAAAGCCAGAGGGCTCATCATCATCATCATCATCATCATCATCATCATCATCATCATCATCATCATCATCATCATGAATATCACGAAAGAAGACGTGGGAGACAGACAGATTCCACTAAATGATTGATCACATAACGGTGACCTTTGACCCATTTAATCCTCATCAGCAGTCCTCCTGACATCTCCCAGAGAACAAACAGTTTCTTCATTTCCACATACTGAAAGAAATCACACTGCCAGAACTTTATGAATGTATAAATATACTTTTTAAATGTATAAAGTATATTTATACATCCCCTATATTAGTGGTTCTCACACAGGGGTATTTTAGAGCACTGTAGGGGTACTTGAGATTGTTTTTTTAGATGTTAATTTAAAAATAGAACAATAACTTTACAAACAGAGATTAATATTCCCACTACAGTTAATACGAGTCATATTCATATTTTTAACACAGCTTTGTGGTTGTAAGCACTACAAAAATCTGGAAGCAGATACAATTATAAACGACAAATGTGGATACTCCAATGTATGAAAATCCTTTCTTTGTACCTGAATTTTTTTTTGTAATATAGGTGACCTACACTGCCCTCCAAAGGCAAACCACAGTAATTACAATTTTGGCCAAAATTGAGTTCTGATTGAAATTTAACTTTTAACTGTTTTATCTTGGTCTTTTGTCAGAGAAACAACGATGTAAAACTGTCAGTAACTCCAGAATCCTACCTCCAGTCTACCTGCAGTAAATGCAGTCACTGCGCTCTCCCTCGCCGTCTCTGAGCTTTTGCTGCAGTCACTGCACTTTCCCTCGCCGTCTCTGAGCTTCAGTGTTTTCAGGACAATGTAGGAATTAAAACAAAGGGAATCTTCATGTTCTCCACTGGGAATTCTGACTGACTCCATCTGTGGATTATTAGCTGAGCTCATTAGAGCAGATAGTGATAATAGTTCACATATTACTGTGCTACTGCTAGCTAGCTCAGACAAGGTATTGGTGTGCAAATTAAACCTTGTTTAGACTTGTCTGTTTCAACCTTTTACTCAGTAAACAATCAGAAATCCAGATTGAATGTAATAAATGAGTTGCAGTCAGGAAGAAGACACTCAGACTGTGCACTACCAATTTATCTGTTTATGTTAATACAAAGTGCAGGATCAGCAGTTACAGGGCAGAGGTCAAATAACACTGCAGTTACTGCGGTTAGCCCTTCGAGGGTAGTATGTATCAATGGGAATCTGGCCTCATTTGCACAGCTACAAAGGGTTTACAATAACCCTGCATCCAGTTCTTTTCTGATATCTACAGATTGGAGACTGTCAGGAAGAATGAGAATGATTTTGAAATTGTAGTCGATCGTGAGACTCTGTAGGCGAAAAACCAACGAGGCAGTTTGCTTTTATGATCAGATCCTACAGAGTCCAGCTGAATACAGCGGGACTTAAACATGCGGACGATCTGAATGAGAAACTAAAGATATGGGTGAATGTCTGAAGAATATAGGATTGCTCGATCAGTGTTAATCACTCCAGAGAATGTTTCACCTGCTTGTAATCGATGTAAGTTTATGATCAATGATCTGACTCATTTCTAACTTCACACATATTGGAGACATATTTTATTTTTTCATTGTTTCTCAGAGGCTTTAGGAGCGCAGTGGGAACCTGAGCTGCTCCTAGCTGTTGTTGGAGCAACTGGCTCATTATCTTCTGCAAGTATGAAAAAAGGCTGTTTAGTTTGGAATAGTGACTGCAATAAAAAGTTACATTTGCGAGTGTGGAAATTGGACTCTGAACCTTCATTTGATTTGTGGTTGAGAGAACTGAACACATTACATCTGGAGAGGTTTTATAATGGAGATAGAGGAGGTGTGTTTGATAAGATCTGGCATCCTGTGCTAAAATGTCTTCAGGGTGAGAACTTCATTTTACAGTGTATGTGCACAAAAAATAATGTGCTGTTTCTTTACATTTTGTCTGTTTGTATTCTCTGAAAAACATATATCCAATTAATTCCTAACATTATAATACTATACTATAAGTTCAATAAAAAATGTTAAGTTTGACCATCTTTTATATTTAACTACTAACTATTCTCAAACTGCTGTTAGCGTCTGTAAAAGCTCTGGTGAAGAGAAGAACAAGTGTAACTCATCAAAGATCAATGACTTCAATGCCGTCTCAGTGTTACTGAATGATGACTAGCGCTGGTCAGGGGGAGAAGCATTGATCTGTATTAATGAGTAATCACAGGAGGTGTACGGGGAGTCCACAAGTTTGTTCACTGTTGGTTTGAGTCCAAACATGAAGAGGAAATATCAGAGATTTCCTTGAATGTGACACAGTGCGACCTTAAAGATGTAATCGTGTCTGTCTTTTGGTTTCTAGGAAATTCTGGTCCTGATGAAACCAGGTGTGTCCTCAGATGGTCTGTGGTAGATGTGGTCCAGCAGCAGTTTCAGCACTTTACTGGCACCCACAGGACGAACCCGGTGCGTACTGGGAGCCGGCAGCATGTGACTGTTTACTCTGGCAGACTGACAGCTGAGGAAATCCGGCTCGGTTCCATCGGGAGCGAGGTGAGACGAGTCCAAATGTTCCCCTTGATTAAAATATGCGGTCCGTGTAGGAGCCCGGACCCCCCCAGCAGCAGCTCAGAGCCAGTTGATGGAAATAACTCACATTGTTTAAAGCTCTGTGGGAAACCAGCTGGCTGCATCTCAACGCTCACTCACAGTCAGCAGAGCAATCCACACACAGCACTGTGATTTATTATCACCCCCCACCCCCACAACAGACACTTTACTCTGCTCTCACCTCATCTGACCTGTTTCTGCTCAACTCTGCGTCTCCAGACAGAAACACACTGATATTCAACCAATAATCAATAATCAGAAGCTGTCATACATTGA